TATATAAAAAAAGAAGTTACGACCTTCAAGCTCAAAACGTATGAGATGCGTTTCATCAAAGATGATGGAGGACGTTCCTCAAACGAAGACTTTGCCAAATGGACGGCGGCCAGCTGCAGATGTATAGCAGCTTCATAGCGGAGCGGCTGTTTATCAGTCGGAGGTGGACGCGGCTCAACGCTGGACTCATTACGGAGGTGACACGTCCGAAGATAAGGCTAAAATATGGAGTTTAGAACAAACTGCAGAATAAAGAATGTGTCGGTGAGGAGCGGTCTTTGAAAAATGCTGTGGTTTATGGCGCGGGTAATAAACAGGTGAGAAACCTCACAGTCCAATCACGACCTCTGACCCTCAGAGCTGCAGTTGGTAACTTTTAAAAACACATGACTAACTGAGAAAATATTCGACGCAACGAGTGAAGTATTTCAACTCTAAATAGTTTTGGTTTAAACTAAATCAATGCAACGAGTGAAGTATTTCAACTCTAAATTGTTTTGGTTTAAACTAAATCAATTGCAACAACAAGCAAACAAATGTGTGCATTATCGCCACCTATGGGCCTGGAATGTATGCAACAGCGTTATCAATGTGCTGGAAATGAAACAACGAAAATATAAAGAAAAAAGGCATTTGAAAATTTACCCTGATTAAATTTTCAATCATAAATAATAAAGTCAAATATTCGACACAGGGAGCAAATTATCAGAAACATTTCTTTTTACTTTCTTTTTCACTGCTTCAAAGTTTTAAGAAAATGGTCCTGGGCCACATGAGCAAAAACTGGACCCCAACCCAGACCTTGAACCTACTTATTTAAATAAACAAAAATCTTATTTTGGAGGCAAAAATAATATTGCATTGTCACAGTGTTGAAATTATTTTCTTCAACCCAAGTTCCATGTGGATGTGGAGCTTTTTGTCTAATGACATATTGTGCGTCTTCAGTTCTTTGGGGAACCTCCGTCGCCGTGAACTGCTGACAACAATGCCGTCTTCCTGCTCTGTCATCCCTGCTCCGTTCATCCTCACCGTCTCTTCCTAAAATAGTCCACAGCCTGCACAGGCAAGCCACAAAAACAATGCCCATGTCACAAAAACATCACGGAGGAAACGACGCATAACCAACAGGAAATGCGATGCCAACACCCCACAGAGGAGAGCCGACATAGTTTGTCTTCTTCGGAATGTAATCGCCTCCTCTGCAGATTCAGATGCAGTACTTTCTTTCTAAAGTCTCTTTTCGGCGACATCTGCAGAAAAACGCATAAAGAAGCAGCTTTGAAAGAGGAGCCAGAGTTAATGGGTCAACCTATGGTTACATGCAAGGCAAATCTGGCCTCTGAGTAAAGAGACCGAGAATAGGCTGACTAAGATTAGTCCGTAGACCTGAAGTACTGCATGTTTGGTTGCACTATTAATATATAACCACTAGAGTTAGCAAAAGAAAATAGGCAAAAAGGTCAGATTTAGGCCTGACTCCTGTGTGAACGTAGTCTGAAAATGTGTTAGAAATCGATGGTTGATTTGTATTTTAACAGTTTAAATCAGTGTTTCCCAAAGACTGGGTCGTGACCTTCAGGTGGGTCGCAAGATATTTCTTTTTGGGTCGTCTCACATCATGTTTCCCAGGAGTTTACGAATAATGTATATTGACTTGGGTCGTGAAAGTTTGTGACATTTGGAACACTGGTTTAGATGCACAAATAAAGGTTGAAATTAGGGATCGGCCGACCGATAATATCGGACCGATATTAGCATAATTATGTAATATCTGTAAGTAACGTAATTGGTTTTTCCTCCGAGAAAGAAAGTTGCTTGTAGGGTCCTGAGACGTTTACCTCATGGGGACAAAATGGCTGCAATAATCGGTGTCGTTTGACATCGGAATCTGGAAATTAATGGACCGATATCAGATATTGTCAAAAAGTTACTGTCAGACCTTTTTTAGCTAAAACCATCACTTTATCTATAAAATGTTTTTCTTTTTGGTTAGTTTTCTTAAGTAAAAAGAACAATTTGAATTGAATCCTGTGTCGGCTCCAGCCCTCTGCCCAGAAACCACTATTCACAACACACTCTGATGTTTTGTCTCTGGGAACGGAAGCTCTGATTAGGCCAACANNGACGGAGTCTCCGTGTGTAGATGTGACTTCATCTCTTCCTGCCACACAGGAAAAGTGGATCAGATCAGCCGGGGTCTGACACCTGCGTGGACCCGGGGTCAAATCGTGTCCGTGGGCGCAGGGATGGAGTCAAATGTCAGATATAAAGGACGTGGATGTGTGCACAGTGACTGGAGATGTGAAGAAACGGAGTCAGGAAAGACACTGACTCCAAGGAGATGAAGCGATAAGAGCTAAATGAAATAAAAAATGGCGGAAATAGTCACGATGAGCTTCTTTTGTGGAGTAGATCTGCCAGGATCAACAGCACTGCGGTGTTGGGTTGCCTGCCATAATCCAGATGATTGTTTTAGCTAACGGAGGCCTGAGGGTCAGTTCTAGCACATGTGCAGGTTTCGCTGGCTTTTCTTTGGCTAACTGTAGTTAGTACTAATTATTTCTGGGCTGACTTTGTGGAATAATTTAAGTTTGTAATTTTAGCTAACTCTGAGCCTAATCCCGCTGAGCAATTTCTGAGGCAACTAGTTATTTTGTTTGTTTTCTTTAGCCTTTCGCACCTAAATATTTGTAGTTAGCTAGTTGCAGGAAATATTATTTTGGCTTTTACCTCGCTATATTTAGCTATCCTAGCTTACACATTTTGTGTTTCGTTGCTAACATTGGTTTTACCTTTAGAGTTTTACACAATTTCTGGCAATTGTTGCAGAGTTAAGGCAACTTTGAGGCTAACTTTATTGATGTTTCAGCTAGTTAGCAATATTTTGGTAAAATCTCTGTTTCTTCTTTTCACTGTTATTATGTTTATATTATTGGTGGCGTTGAATTTTTCTTTTTTTCTTCATTAATTAATTCTCTGTTATTCCACAGTCCACTTCACACACGTCAGTTTTGTTGTCGTTGATTTGTTTGTTGGGAAAAGCTAACCCAGGCCGACGAGTCCAGTTCTGCAGCAGACTTAGCCCGACCCCCTCCATTAGCTCCTAACGAGCCTTTTCTAAATGACTTGAGTCGATGGTCAACCACCATGTCGCACTCGCTGCTCTGTTGTTGACATGCTGACCACAGGCCGCGGGGTCGCCGCCATGTTGGAATTCAAGGCGATCCAATCAAAAAGTTGGGATAATTGGGGTAAATTTACAGCTGTTTTATTTCTGCTCTGCGTGTACGAACATCGGAAACAAATGCCGAGCCTTATCTCTGACTTGACGCGAGCGTAAATCTCCAAAATGTACTAAAAGTTTGAAATGCAGCGCGGGGTCACGGCGGTCAGACACGGCTAGACACAAAATGACAAACGCTGATTAAACCCCCTGATAGGGCTGTGGAAATGTGTGTGTGTGTGTGTGTGTGTGTGTGTGTGGACATGTGTTTGTATTTGACAGAGAAAGGCAAAAACACACACTTTACATGGAGAAGTGTGTGGCCGAGGTATAAATCTGTCACTCGTCCTCCGTCTGCTCTTCATTAACGTCGTGTTGATGCAACTTTGTGGTCATTTTTACACAACAAGTTTGAGGGAGAGAAAATGTAGTCGCAAATACTTACATACGCAAAACACACACAGAGGACCTTGTGTATAAATACACTGCCCCCCCCCACATATATAATGTGTATAATGTATACAGCAGATGGTGGACTGATCGTAGTATTGTAGTATCTTCCTCTTCCTCCTCCTCTTCCGTCAACACCTCCTTATTTTACACTGTCCTGCCATCTCTCTCTCTCCCTCCTCTCTCTCCCTCCTCTTCCTCCTCCCTCCTCTGCAGTGATGCAGGTGGATGCCTGACCTAAAATCGGGGCTGATGTATGACTCCCGTCCTGCTGACGGCAGCAAGTTAAAGAGTGTGTTTATGTGGCTGTGAGTGTCTGAGCCCCGGCTCTGCCTCCTCTTCCTCCTCCTCTTCATCTGCCTTCTTCACCCTTGACTGTAACTGATCACCTCAGATGTCAAAGGTCACTGTAAACCGCTCATGTATAAATATGGATTTATTTGTTACACGGCTGTAATCCCTCCTCTGTCATCAAGTCATTTACAAGAAGGTGGGGGTGAGGAGGGGGGAGGGAGGGGTGAAGAAAGAACAGGATGAAGAAAAATAAGAAGAGGAGGAAGAAGATGAAGAGAAAGTGTCTGTAGTGTAGTGGTTGTCACGATCGCCTAACAAGCTAAAGGTCCCCTGTTTGAGTCCGGGCGGAGACATGTTTAGGGCAGTGGTGGCTCGATGTTTCCTTCTGAACAGAAATGACTTTAATTCTTCACTTTAAAATAAAAAAACATTAAGTATAAAATTTAAATCAAAATCTGCAGCAGTAACGAATACCATGAATGGATTTGTGGGCTATTTTATTAATTCCTTTAAAGGAGGACAAAAAAAAAAATACATTGTAGTATATTTAAGATATTTAGATAGGCATAGAATGAACACGTCTTATAAACAAACCTACATTTTATTATTAGTATTCAGCCAGTACCAGTTTTGGATAAATCCCAAGTAAAATTCCAGAAACACAAACAAAAAAAATTAAATGAAATAAATTCAAACATGGAAGGATGGATGGAAATTCCTCCACGTTTCCAGGACCCAGACTTTGCAACGGTGTCCTGGAGGAGGAGGAGGAGGAGGGACGGATTATTTTGCTAATGAGTCTCATCCATGCATACATAATGAGCTGAAGTGACTCCTTTCCTCCTTTGTCTCCACTCTCTCTGGGTCTACTTCCACAGAGAGGAGCTGGGGGGCACCAAAGTCTGCCTCCAAATACTCCGTCCTGCTTTTGTGGCTGCTGCTGCTGCTACCAGAATAAATTAGAAGTCTGTTAGGAAGAGGAGGAGGAGGAGGAGGAGGAGGAGGAGGAGGAGGAGGGAGCAGAGGAGTAAAAAAAAAGGGGGCAGGGCCTTGTGGTGGGGGTGGAGGAGTCGGCTTTCAGGCGGTGAGGCGCACGGTGCTGTGGAGCCGCTCAGTTGTGCGCACACCCGTCCACAGTGCACTGCTCTGTACTACACCTCACTACACTACACCTCACTACACTACACACACCGGCTGTGTGTGAGAGAGTGGATGCTGACTGAGCCGAGGAGCAGGAGGACCGCAGGGCTGCAGACCGAGCCCGTGTCTCCTGCAGACTGACCCAGACGTCCTCACCTGACTGACCAGGACGCAGGAAAAAAAAAAAAAAAAAAAAAAAAAAGGGACGCCTGAGTGGAGGAGAAGAAGGAGAAGAGAAGGAGGTCTGGAGGATCAGTGACTGTCACCGTGTCTGGATATGATGTGGATGAAACAGAGGGGAATTAAAGGACCAGTTCAGCTGATCGAGGAGCGTTCATGATCCGCCGCTGCTGCTGGATTCACTGACCGAAGGAAAGAGAGGAATAATTGGGAAACGGTTTGCATACTAATCAGGATTCAGACAGGAGAAAGGAGAGAAAGGAGAGGAGAGGAGGAGAGCACACACGTCCAGAGCAGCTGAGAGAGGCTCAGATGAATGTAAGTCACAGCATCTTTCCTTCTTCTCCTCAGTGCTGCAGAAGCAGACGCACCTTCCATGCTTCCTTTTTCCCCCTTCCTTGTTTCCTTTTTTTCCCCTTCCTTGTTTCCTTTTTTCCCCCTTCCTTGTTTCCTTTTTTCCCTTCCTTGCTTCCTTTTTTCCCTTCCTTGCTTCCTTTTCCCCCTCCCTTGCCTCCTGAGGTGCATGCTTGAAGCTGCCTCCCTCAGCTGCACCTTGCAGAAAGGCCGGCAGGAGGTTCGGACGGGGGGGGGAGTGATCAGCAGATGGACTCTGATAGTGTGATGAGACGGTGATGCAGCGTCAAGGAATATTGATTATTGATTATTGATTATTGATCAGCAGTCACAGCTAAGCAGATCGACAGAGGAGAAAAGTGCCGCTGCCGAGAAGGATGTTATTGTAGTAACAACGACAGGGGGCGTGTGTCTGTGTGTGTATGGAGGGGGGG